TATGACTAATCTCCTCATTGTGACAGAGACAAGTGTTTAAATTATCTACAAATTTACAATCGAATTTATTATTAATAATGGATAATAATTCTATTCAGAGTTGTACAAAAATCTTCTTTGAATATTTTTGAGCAAGGTCACCCACAGAAATTTAAGCAAAATCTTTAAAGATCGTAAAATTTGAAGATCTTTTATTTTTAAATTTTAAGACGATCTTCAAAGATCTCTATCTTCGAGGAGCATAAAATTTGAAGATCTTTTATTTTTTAAAAATTTTGAGAAAAGATTTTTTATATTTTTGATCAACAATTTTCACAGATCTTTATATTTTAAAATGTTATAGTGAATTATTTTTATGATATTTTTTTGAAGTAAATGATTTTAAATTAAAATAAAAAATCAGTGATGTATCATAAAAAAGTAACAATTGTCATAATAATTATTTTTTAATTTTTTTGATTTTTTTTGACGAAAATAGTTAAAATTTATATTATTAAGATGTAAAATTAAAATTTATATTATTAAGATGTAAAATTAAAACTTTAATGAAGATGTACAATAGAAAAGAAAAGTGACAATTATCATAATCGTTATTATTTTACTTTTTTAAATTTTTTTGACGCAAAAGGGTAAAGATATTTATTGTAAACATGTTAAATTAAAATTCCAATAAATATTACCATAAAAATGTGATAATGGTCATAATCGTTATTATTCATCTTTTTTAATTTTTTTTAACGAAATTAGGTTAACATTTATATTATTAAGATGTAAAATTAAAATTTCTATAAGGATGTACCATAGAAAATTTCAAATCATTATTTAACTTTTAAAATTATTTTGGCGAAAGGGTGTAATGTATTAATATAAATATAAATTGTATTTTGTTAATTTGGTTTTAAGCTACAATTTATTTTAATAGATTAAAGTGATAAACGAGTTTGTAAAAGTATATAATATGGATATATATTTTCTTCTTTTATATATACTTGTAGAAAGCCCGTCAAAAATGACGGGGAATGAGATTTTTATTCATTTTTTACGATATATGTCATGTAAGCTCACAATATTAGGAAGCATCCAAGATCTTATAATTTTAAAAAAGTTTATCAAGCCCAGCTCAACCCTTAATAATTTGTAAAAGATATTCCCAAGTCAGGTGCAAGCTAATATTAATTTTGAATTTCCAAGCCCAGTCCTACCCATTATAATTTTGAAAATTATTCCCGCCTTGTCAGGGTCTACATGAGCGGGAGGAGTTGGAACAGTTTGTATCCTATTTTTTTGAGGGGGTAGGGGGTAAGCTGCTTTAATGGGGGTAGGATAAATTTTTTGGGGTTATCTATTAAATTTTGAGATGAAATAGGACAAAATTTATTGCTGCAAAAATTAATACTTTTATTATAGTATTATTATAATACACTTCGTCGACCAAATCTATATATAATCTATATATTGCAAACAATCATACAAATTGTTTTCCAAATAAACTATCCTTTTAAATGTAATTTAAAAGGTTTAGATATTTCAGCAAGCTCATAATGGCATAATAATTAATTCATTGTAAATAATGGAGGTTTTAATTGAATTTATTATCTAAAAAATAAATTCTTTATATTCACAAAATATCGGTAGTTGGTAGTATAGATAGATTAATTTAAGTAATCCTTTATAAATTATTTGAAAAGAGTATCAATAAATAAATAGGTGAAAATAATTATAAAGAGATGCCGCCAAAGGGGACGAAAATTTTTTAGGGGGGTAGGCAAAGGTTTTTGAAGGGGGTTTGCATCCAGTGAAAATCCTGTCATGTAGACGCTGCGCCTCGTAGATAGTTAAATTTTTAATATCATCACATGAACGGGAAATATCTGATTTACCAATTAGTCTAATATGGAAAAAAAACATGGAAATTCCGTATTAAGGGAAACTGGGAAGGCCTGAGCAACCACTTATTAGAGAATCATGACAAATAAAATAAAAATAACCGACTTTTATACTTTTTTGTAATATGATCAATTCAAATTATATCTAAAAAATATGTTGTTTATTATATAGGGTTATTGTTATTTTTCAGATTCTTGCATTTCTGAAATTATTTGTCAAAGAATTTGATAAGGGATATATATCTTTTATGTTAATTTAAAAAAAAAATGCTGTCTATTTAAATTACAAAAATGCCATTAAACACTAATGAAACTTATATGCAAATTATTTATATATTTTTTAAAATATTTTTTTTTATTGACATATAAATTTAGGATAATTTTTTTAAAAAATAATGAGGATTATTTATTATGTATTTGATAAAATTAAGAGCAAATCCTTGTTGACATTTAAATTTTTGATGGAAAAAGCGACAAAATAAATCTGGGCGGTCGTCTGGAGAGGAAATAATTAATGTATAATTTTATATCATTTAGGGTTGTAGATGAAAGTGATGACGGATTAACAAAGCAGTGTACAAAACACATTACGTTTTGATAAAGATGATATGCCTATGCCTTGGGATACTGGTAAAAGAAGAACGCAAAACGATATTTCTGTCAATGCCAGCATTGGTATCCCCTTCTAAATAGAATCATGAACGACAATGTTAACTCAACCATAAAACGGTCTTAAGTATTGTTTTAAATGCCACGACAGAACTACTATATTTTTCCATTAATAAAGTTGATGAAATTGGCCGTACTGTACATTCAAGTTTGAACATTCCTCTAAATATTCATGAAAGTTTCTCAGAGAATCGGATAAAGTAATATTTATATTAACTCCTAGTGAAGTGAATGATAGTACAGAATTAAATGTTTATATTTGTTAAAAAATAGGCGGAGGCATAGAGATTGTGGTAGTGGTGATAGTATAATTTGGAGAACTGGGTGAAAATAAAATCAACATATGTATAAAACATAAGATAAAAAAAAACCTCCAGATGAGTTCATTTCAAGCGTAGTTCTTTATTATTTTGTCTACCAGAAACTCTTGAAAGGGTAAGGCTTTTGTTTAATCGTCATTATTTTCTTTGCTTATCTTTAATAATAGATTCATCATGTTTTGTAGCAATGTGAGATTAGAGTTAGCCTAGACAAATAAAGAAATCAGGTAAAAATATAAATAAACTATTGTTAAAATTAAACAAACATTAAAATAATGTAAAACTGGTAGATGGGCCAATATTAGATGAATATTTCTAGTAGTTGGAGGGCTATTATCAAAAAAAAATTTTGGGGGACTTATCAAGCCTATTATGATATTCTAAAAATTAAAAAATAACATGATGAATGTAATGTTATTAAGATTAAGGTTAATTAATTTTAAGGTAATTAAAAAATAAGATTAAAAAAGGGAGGAAAAAGAAGGTTATAAAAATTAAATTAAAGGAATTGATAAGGTTTGGCTATCATCAAAAAAAATTTTTGGGGGACTTATCAAGCCTATTATGATATTCTAAAAGTTAAAAAATAACATGATGAATGTAATGTTATTAAGATTAAGGTTAATTAATTGTTAGGTAATTAAAAAATAAGATTAAAAAAGGGTGGAAAAAAGAAGGTATAAATTATTATATTATAAAAATAATAAAAATTAAATTAAAGGAATTGATAAGATTTTGAGAAATAGTGGTTAATAGATAATAGAGATAGAAAGAAAAGAATGAGATAATAAAATTTAGTGATAAATAAATTCATTAAGAGAGGAAAAAAAAAATAAAGAAAGAGTTATTTATAAGGATTGGAGATTATAAATAGGTTAGGATAAGAATATTTGAATATACTTGGTTATCTTCTTAATTATTGGTTATGAAAGAAAAATATGAGTATAAAAAATTGTAATGTAAGTACTGACAAAAATTGTGAGTATGTTCAAAATAAATATACAAGTTGAGTATCTTGTAGAGATTTCATTAATGTGTAATTGATATGAGATGAAAATTGATAAGGTAATCTAAAAAATAAAGAAAGGATTAAGTGAAATAAAAAGTTTCATTTATACTTACAAAGTTGAGGGAATATTGTTTTTATCAATTCAAAGACGATTTTTCAACTCTCAATCCATGTTAGGTATGTGTGCACCATCAATTCTCGAAATTCATATTTTTGTATAAAATAAATAAATAAAATCAACAAATAAAAAAAATAAAAATAAATACGTACCGATGACATGACGTAGTGAGGATATCGCAAAATTATAATATAGATAATATACATAAGTAAATACTATCTGATAAACACTACAAAGGGTCAAGATATTTATTGCAAACATGTTAAATTAAAATTCCAATAAAGATGTACCATAGAAAAGTGACAAATTATATAACTTTTTTGAAATATTTTATATATAACATTGAAAAATGACAATTGCCATGTGTAATATTTTTAAACTTTTATAAAATTTAAACAAGGATATAACATAGAAATGTTGACGATTATTTATTTCAAATTATTGAAAATATATACCAGGTTTATTGTCAGAACGGAGCTGCATTTGGACAAAAATTCATCGTGTTGAGAAATATTAAGCACTTTTTTCGTTAGGTTATTTTCATATGATTTTTTTTTTAAATAAATTTTTTTAAAGTTATCACATCACGATTATTTTGGCTTATTGATATTTATTTTATACATTTATGCAATTAAACTAATTCAATCATTCAAACAAAATGCAATCAAGTGAGTTCACACAAAATGAAGTAATTTATTTATATTTTTATAAAATCATACATTTATTTTATAGGAACTAATAAAACTCGAAAGTCTAATAAAGAAATATAATATTGTTGTTCAAAATAAAATGCAGGGTGATATAGTTCTAAGAACATCCAATATAAGTTCAGAAAATGTGAGAAGCTTTGGAAGAAGCCACAAGCTCATCATTTATTGTTAAAACAGTCGTAAAAGTTAAAAATAATAATATACATATTTTTTTTTCAAGCTTATAATTGGGTGTGTTGAAATCACAGATTTAGTGTGTAAAGCCTTAATTGATATATATATATTAAAAGAATTCCTAATAATAAATCAAAATCTAAGGATCCATTTCTTTTTACAAATCCCCCAATGACTGGGTTAATAAGTTATAAATATATTTGACATGATGTCATTGGTGGATGTTAAAACATATCACTATCTAACCATTAGACTGGATAAAAAAAATGGAGCTTAGATTTAATTCCTCTATAAATCCAACTGAGTGACAAGCAAAATATTTATATAACCTGTGGATTACTAAAAATTATTGAACCATTATCGATCCAATAAAGAAAATACTAGAAAAGATTGATATTTAGGCTGCATTCAAAGTGGAGACGGATCCGGATTTTACATCCGTTCGGTCAAAAGTCAATCTCATTAAAAATGATATATATTGATTTTCATTTTTAAAAAATTATAAGTAACGTTATAACGCTCTAAAAATTTGCCGGATCAAAAAGTCAAAATGTTTTGACTTCAAAATTTGCCGGATCCGTTTTTAAGACGGAAGGTATCGGAACGGACACACTATGAACATATATATATTATTTTTAATGTGATTGACTTTTGTCGGAACGGATGTAACGGATCCGTCTCCACTTTGAATACAGCCTTATGCTGACAAAGGTATTTAATTTTAAATGTTAAAAAATTTAAATATCCATAAGGCATGAAAGTGTATGTAACTCAGGATTCAACTTGGAGTGTTTTGATTGTAACTCCAATAATGCTATGCACGCGTGAATTGGAAACTTCTCAAGATATTATTTTTATTGATTAAACTTCAAGTTGTAGCCCATTCCAATCTGACCTTAGTAATAACAGCAACCAAGGCAGGAGCACTGCCCCTCTATGTTTTAATACATGAGAGATATACAGAAAATAATTGTACACAAGCATTTCAAATGTTAATGGGCTCACTTTTCTACATGTTCTGGTGATAAGAAAGTATTTATTGTTACTTTAACACCATTTTTTTAAAGTATCCAAAAGTATTCATGACTGATGATTCCACTACTGAAAAAAATGCAATCAGAAATATTTGGCCTTTTTAAAGCAATTACTTTGCCACTTTCGTTTCCTTCAGGCAGAAATGAGATGGCTGACCACCAATATGAAATCTGAACTATTTACCATTATGGAAATATTTAGATCAGTATATTTTATGGGTTATATTATATATAGAACCTAATATTTTTAGTTAGTTTATGCACAAAAACAATTTTGATTTTTATCTTAATCGTATTAGGTGTTTGAATAATATAAAATACAATCAAAGAATTAATAAATTATTGAAAAGAAGAACTGAATGGAATGCTTAGTCTAGAAATAGCATTGTAATTGTAACAAGAAATCATAATAAAAATAATTATTCAAGTATTATTATTACATATTTTTTAGTTATTTAAATTAATTGTCAAGTAAAAACTTAAATATTAAAATTACAATGTATATAAAACTCATTGATATAAATAAACGTTCATCTAAATCATACTTTTATTTTTACTAAGAATCAATGATTAGGGTAATTAAGAACAATATTCTTCAAAGAATATAATATTTAAATGCTGCTTCTTTTACAGAAACCATCATTAGTATTTTTGAAACATATTTAGAATATAAGATTCTACAACGCCTTGGTATAAATTATAACCAAAGAGATATCATCAGGTTAATATGTTGTTAATATATTTGATAAATATTTTTATTTAGGCATGAACAGGTTGCCATGTCTCCCCCCATCAGCAGGAGACTCCCGCAATTTTTTAGTTTACATGCAAACATCTCACTCCCGCAAAACTACCGCAATTGAAATCTCCCGCAAAAATCTACCGCAATTTTTTTTATTTCTCCAGCAATTTTTTATTTTTTTAGCATTTTAATGTTTTTAATATATAAATAATAATTTTGAGAGACAGTAATTGATTATTTTAATACTAAAATAAATTTTAAATTATTCGAAAAACATGTCTAGTATGTAAATTTCTTTCTATCCTGTTTTATTTTTGTCCAATAATAAGTCAACATCATTTTGTTCATAATTTCATTGTGTTTGTAAATTTATCAAAACAATGTGAATATTTTAGAATTATAGATGAAAAAACAATCTTCAATAAAGAACTATTTAGACAAAACATATGTTTTTAACGGTTACATGTCAATACCGCGAAAATTTTAGTGCGAAATGTATTATCGCGAATGCATTATCGCGAATGCATTATCGTAAATGTCTATTACCGCGAAAAGATATTATAGCGAATGCATTATCGCGAATATAATATAGCAAATGCATTACCGCGAATGCATTATAGCGAATATAATACAGCGAAAATATTATAGCGAATGTATTAGCACGAATGTAATACCGCGAAAATGTTATCGCGAATGTATTATAGCGAATACATTACAGCGAATGAATTATCGCGAATATATTAACGCGAATGCATTATAGCGAATGTATTATAGCGAATGAATTATCGCGAATACATTATAGCGAATACATTATAGCGAATGCATTATAGCGAATCTATTATAGCGAATGCATTATAGCGAATGAATTATCGCGAATACATTATAGCGAATGCATTATAGCGAATCCATTATAGCGAATGCATTATAGCGAATGCATTATAGCAAATGCATTATCATATCGCGAATGGAGTTTCATGAAAGTTACAATTTTATATTTATCGACTTTTCGACTGACTTAGTTGAATATGAAAATTAAGTTAAAATGGGGATTGGCTCTAAAAACATTTTTTTATTGAAATTAAGGCTAAGGCTTTTCTTTTTTTTGACTCAAAATATATAAAAAAGATTCTAAGTAATAAAATAGATTTCTCTTTTTCATCTAATCATTTTAAATATTGAACATGAAAGTTACAATTTTATATTTATCGACTTTTCGACTGACTTAGTTGAATCTGAAAATCAAGTTAAAATGGGGATTGGCTCTAAAAACATTTTTTATTAAAATTAAGGCTAAGGCTTTTCTTTTTTTTGACTCAAAATATATAAAAAAGATTCTAAGTAATAAAATAGATTTCTCTTTTTCATCTAATCATTTTAAATATTAAACGTCAAGTTTTTTCTTTTTAATTTATTGAAAACTTGTAGGGGAGAACGGGGTTATGGCGAACCCTAAAGGCAAACCTTAAGAAAATTATAAGTACTTTTATTAATTTAAATATATAATTTTACAATAATGTATTCAATTATAATAAAAAAATAAAATAGCAAATATATATTTTTATATTATTTTATATTTTTTAGTAAAAATATAAAACTCTATAAGCAGCTAGCAGATTGTAATTGTATTCTCATATTATTATTATTAGATTTTTGGTTAGAAAAAGATTTTTGTGGCAATATAGTGAATTGATCTTTAATAATATATGAAGAGTTTTATAAATAAAATTAAATTCTATATATGAATTGAAACGCGAAAGTGAGATTTAAAAAAATTACTAATCAAAAATATTAAGGGTTGTAAACATTAATAAATTTTAATATAACGAGTTAGATTTCAGGCACTAGTCTTGATCCCAAGTTCAGTTAGGGTTCCAGAATTTAAAAAAAATTAAATTATTATTTTAGAGTAATAAAATATAACAAAATATGAGTTAATAAACAAGTCATGTAATCTAATTATAAATCTTATTTCGTAGTATCATCAATTAACTTATATAAATCTTTAAAAAAATTGAAAAAAATTATTGCACCTTTCATCTTTTTAAAGTAAGGTGCCAGAAGTAAATTATAGTTTGGTAATAACTTTATTTTTATCCATTTCCAAAAATGTCTAAAGATTTTAATAGAAAAATATTATTTCAGCCGCTGGGTTATTTTTGAAAGGATAGCTTTATCAACGCCAAAAAAAATTATACTTTTATTAATATTTAGCTATTTTTTACAGTACAGACAAAATTGAATTTAACATATTTCAATGTCATAATTAGTAATAAAATAAATATTATAAATGTCGTAAATTAATATACCTGTGTTCTTCGGGCTGCATTTTTAGCTCTGATTATTTAAAGCCCTGCCCTAAATTTTCAAATTTCGTTATTTTGAATATTTTCTCTGTATTTTATAAATTGTTTTATACGAAATTTAAGATAAGTAAATAATATTAAAGCATAATTAAAATGTTTTTCACTATAATATTAAACGGCATAAAAATATGGATTTGTGGCCTTCTGTCTCTTAAAGTTGAAATTGTTTTAAACCGTATCATGAATAATATACCAATTTGCACAGTGAGATTTAGAAATAATTAAATAGACAGAATATGAAATTAAAAAATCTTCTTTTCCCATTTCAGAAAGTCTCATAATCATTATGTTTAAAAATATTTATTGTAGGCATTCCCTTTCAGGCAGAATAATATGATTTGAAAATAACTTACAAAATATTAAATTTGAACTAAATTCACATATCATCTCTATTGAAACCACCAAAATATATAATTAAATATATTTTTTATCATTTTAAGATTTATATTTGAAACAGGAGTTGGCATTTATTATTTTTAAATTTAACAATGTTTAAATTTAAAAAAGATAAGATTTTATGTTTTAAAGCTATAAAATTAATAATTTTGACGATTACAAAAGATTTAATAAGATAGAGGTCTCAATCCAATGTTCCCCTTCATCTAATCTTATTTAAAAAATTTTTAAAATTATCAACATATTTTTTTAGCGCTGGAAAGGGTTAATCATATCAGTAACTAGGGGCTAGTAGAATTAGGTCGAATTAATTATATTATGCTTAAAAATATGATATAATAAGTATTCATTGGCTATTATAGCTTTAAATTCTATTTTTTCCCTTTAACTTTCACCTTTTCTGGTGGTTGATAATCAAAAGAATTAGAAAAAAAATTAAAAATATTCATTAAAACTTAAACATTTTTTAAAATAAAATATCACATTTTGAAATTTTTTATGAATTATTTATATACAAATGGTGTATTATTGATAATAACAATTATCCTATAGGAGACTTAATAAACCAATATAATCTACAAGCCTGGGGTTTGGGGCTTGGGGCAAAAATTAACTTTTACTAGAATCAATCTTAAAATATAAAATATTAAAATATTTATTAATAGGGTCTTTTGTAAAAAACGACTTAATCTAATCGTTAAAAAAATTGAGTATACCAAATTCCACATATTTTTTAATAAAATACGAATTTCATAAATAACAAGTGACGTGTTTTAGAGGTAAATAATTTTAAAACGCTACTTTAAATAAATATAGACACATAAGCTGGTTCTCTGGTTTTTTGGAATTTAATAAATGGGTTAAATATAATTTTATCAAATATAAATCACTATTGCATTGTGATAATGTTAGTTGTAATGCATTCGCGATATTGCATTCGCTATGATGCATTCGCGATAATGCATTCTCTGTAATGTATTCGCTCTAATACATTCGCTATGATACATTCGCGATATTGCATTCGCTGTGATGCATTCGCGATAATGCATTCTCTGTAATGTATTCGCTCTAATACATTCGCTATGATACATTCGCGATAATACATTCGCTGTAATGCATTCGCTATAATGTTTTCGCGGTAATGCATTCGCTATAATGCATTCGCGCTAATATATTCGCTATAATACATTCGCTATGATGCATTCGCGATAATGCATTCGCGGTATTACATTCGCTGTAATGCATTCGCTATAATGTTTTCGCGGTATTTCATTCGCTATAATGCATTCGCTAATATATTCGCTATAATACATTCGCTATGATGCATTCGCGATAATGCATTCGCGGTATTACATTCGCTGTAATGCATTTGCTATAATATTTTCGCGGTAATGCAATCGCTATAATGCATTCGCGCTAATATATTCGCTAAGATACATTCGCTATAATGCATTCTCGGTAATGCATTCGCTATAATATCTTTTCGCGGTAATCGACATTCGCGAAAATGCATTCGCGATAATACATTTCGCTGTAAAAGTTTCGCGGTATTGACGTGATACGGTTTTAACATGATGTATGATGAAAATTATATTCTGCGATATGTTGGTATCAAAACATAATAATGAATGATAATGATTTATTAAATCGATAATGACAATTTCCTTTCAAGACATTTCATTATATGGTGACTTGATTTCGTGACTGATTTAAGAAATTTATATGGGAATTTTAGGATTATCTAAAATTAATGGTGATTATGGATTTAAACATGGAAATTGGAACCAAATAATTATTACATTAAATGATGTCTTTCTACAAATATTCATTAAGGACACAAATAAGAAAAAAAAAAAATATATTTTTAATTTTATTACTTTCTTTATTTTACCTTCTTCCAAATTATTATAAAAATTACATATTATTTTAATAATCTTTTATCTCTAATACTATATTTTTTCCTTCTTTTTTAATACCTTAATTTATCCTCCATTTTTCTTTTTTACTTTACCAAAAAAATTTTTAAATTTATCCTCCATCTTTTCTTTTATTTTTTTACTTTACCAAAAAATTTCTATTTCTTAAATTTGAATTTAAAAATAAACAATACGATCATAGTTATCGAAATTGACTATTCTTTCCTACGATGATTTTCTCCAACAATTTCTTATATAAGGTCGTAGATAATGTTCTCTCCATTCACGGAAAATATCGTCCCTTTTCAATTCTCCCAAAAAAAAAGAAGAAGACATCTTGTCCAATTAAAATGTTGATTTCTAAAATATAATAATCTACACTCTTCAAAGATTATATAATATTATACCAACATATTCGAAATAATCAATTATCGCTCTTCCAACTACTTATCAACATTCGCGGAAAGCACAATTTTCGAGCAATAAAAAAAAAACAATAGTTTATTTATTTTTGAGCATATCTCCTCTTCCGGTTTTTATATTTTCTGGATTTTCTTATTCCCTGAGCCTCTACTAATGCCCGATCATAGTTATCAAAATTGACTATTCTTTCCTACGATGATTTTCTCCAACAATTTCTTATATAAGGTCGT